TATTTTGGTTGTCATACGTGATTATTTTGTGCTATGTAAACCTTATGTCACTGTGGTTTGCAAACTAAAACTCATACATACATCAAAATGTGAATTCAACGAAGTAAAGAAACATGAAATTGAACCAATGCATTAAAGTTTAAAAGTGATGGGTGAGCCCGATTTAGAGTCTTGAGCAAGTGAGTTGCGAACCCTAACATGGCATGGGAAGGTATTTCGGCTCTTATCGGTATAAGTGATATAAGGTTGGTGGTGCGGGTGTCATAACATAGACTGTTCCCTTGGAGAAAACCGTGATGTCACGACTCGGGTTCGTAACCCTAGTATGTGGGCATCATTGGTAGTTACAGCAAGTAACATTTGAATATTTGACCAATGGGATATTTGACCAGGGGGGAGTCAAAATTGCCCGTGACCATTGCTTAGAGGTTGAGTGGAAATAGTGCTCCGCAGGGAGTTACTTAGACTTATCTAATAAACTAAACTTATGTTAATTTAAAAGAAAAGTTGACATTTTCATTATGATAAATTGTTGCTTCCGCTTGCCATTGTTCTTATTATCTGTTGTTATTATTTCAACTGATAGCATTCCTATTATGCTTATTAAACGACTGCTTGTTACTCTGTTACTACACATTATTCATTAATTGTGAGTATTGTTATCGGGTAGGTGTTTTTAGGTTGTAGTATCTTATTGAGCTCGTCACTCATTGGCATTCCCGTTGCCCTGGCGTTTTATGCCAGGTATCGAAGAAACCGAAAGAAACACCAAGGTCTTGGAAGACGACATTCAGCCTTGATTAGCTTGAAGTGTGCCTAAGTTCCATGAACCTTTTTTTTGAATTTTTTTATAGTTTTTCTCTAGTCTTCTTTCTTATTTTCCTTCTTTTTCTTTCTCTTTTTTTTTTTTTTTTTTTTTTTTTTTTTTTTTTTTTTTTTTTTTTCTTGCATGTACTAAGACTAAGGGGTTATTTGGGGTGTTCTAAATAAGTGCACTTTTTGATTTGTTAAACTAAAAAGTTAAGGGGGAAAATGGTTATTTGGGATAACTTTTTGACTTTTTATGAAAAAATGTATATTAAAAAATTGTATAAATTAGTGTATAGGAAAAGCTTGGGCAGAGTAGGCAGTACAGTGGGCAGAGTAGTGTATAAGAGAAGCTTGCCCCTTTTCAAGTATTGAATTAGACAGTGTTGTTCGGCTCGTGGGGGCGCACCACGGGTCCCGTTTTGCTAATCGGAATAGTTCAATGTGTAGAACTCGTTGAATACTATATGGTTGTAAAAAATCACATTAATCGGATATTGATAGCTATCTGATCGGATTAGTTTTTTTATCAACCGTTAACTATAACACTATCTATTTTGTATACAAAACTGATTTGATCATATAGTTAGCGATATCCAATCAACGTGATTTTTTATAAGCATATATTACTTGACGAGTTCTACACATTGACGATTCAGATTATCAAAACGGGACCCTAGATGGGTCTCCACGGGCCGAACAGCACCATCTTGTTTGCTTCTCCGCATGTTCCCTTTGTACAAACGGTGGGCAACAAAAGTACAACTCACGTGACATATGAGTTGTACTTTTTTTTTATAAAATTAATTTTTTTAATATTTTTTTTAGTGAATAGTAATAACTTTTTAACTTTTTTAGTAATTTTTTGACTTTTTGACTTTTTTAAGATATGCCAAACCAAGTCTTAAGTTTTATTGAAGTTGTAAGTTAAGAACTTTTAATTTCTGTATTGTTAATTAATGGATGATGGTAAACTTAGTGGCAACATTGATAAGGAGTTCTTAATTAAGAAAATTGGTTTTAAATTCTAAACCTTATTATAATGTCCTTAAATTTTGGGGTGTCACACTCTACATCTGCCACGTTGTCAAAACAAAGGCCCTGTCCATTGACCTGCTGAGATCTGATCTAGATTTCGTTAGTCCTCGCGGTTCTTTGGGACTTCTCCTGCCGGGATTCTATCCCCAAGTCTCTTTTCATGTTGGGGAACTATTGGCACTGTAGCCAATCCCTCCTTCTGGGCGTTGGTGTTTCTTGCTGGAGTCAACGTTTCCAGTAAAGGCAAAGTCACCTACATCACCTTGCTCTGCAGCATAAAGTTCACCACGGTCTGCAGGTCTGTCAACTTGTTTGCCAAGTCCTTTAGTTCATCATCTCTCCTCAGGCATCTTTCTTTTCATACCTGGCAGTCGCTTTTGTTGTAGTATTCTTCCCAGTTGCCTCTTTTCAGGCCATTATTGGCATCAGGATTTACTTACTGCACTTCTTTGTCATTGTTTCCCCCTCCAACATTGGGATCTACGTACTCCTCTTCCCCACTGTGCATGTCATTCCCGACTCTCACCTCTTGTCTGGCATTGACCATCTATTCTTACTAAGTTCTCACAGATTGCGCCAAATTGTGGGTGTTGATTTTCGACCTCACAACCAAACAGAAAACTTAGCTGAAAAGCACGCAGTAGAATAGATTAAACCAAGCACCTACCAATAAGAAGACAAGAATACCATGGTGGCTCGTCCACCTAGGGGTACTTCGACAATCAAGTCAATCAAACTTATCTCTCAAAGATATCGAACAAATACTCAATGCACAAATCAAAGCATATCTTAGACCCACGAGGGTGTCTTACTTTTATAGCCAATAGTGTACTCGTCCCCTAGAAGTCTCACTTCATAGGACTCAAGCACAATGTTTATGCCAGACTCTTAGTTAGATATAGATGAATTACTCAACAATTTCATCCTTATCCGAACTAACGACATCATTTATCTAGGACTCTTATCCTCTATTCAAATATATCGGATTTTGGTATTACCGCACCATATCTCGGCAATACCACAATTATCTCGGCAATCTGACTCGCCCAAGTGGCACCTCGGCCAATACCTCCGGCACCTCGGCCACTTGGCACGACCTCGTAAATACATCTCCACAAATTTAAATAACATCGATGATAACTGATTGAAGAAATTTATCCGCTGACTTGAACAAGGTTTCCAATGTTTGAGTTGTAAAGGAAAACAAATCCTTCGGAGCTACCGACAAAGCCTTTATTGAAGAATCTTGAACAGATTGAAAGAAATCAAGGATTCTTCCTCCAAACTTGAGTTTGGGTAATTCAAACTTAGGGTCTCTAGACACAATAGACCCACATGCAGACTCTGAGTCACTTTTGTTTGCTACTTATTGTTCCCTCTATTCTTGATTTTTATAAGATATTTTTGGAATATATTTTGGGGTTGCTCTTGATGGATTGTGTTCATGTTTCAAGTTTTTGACTCAGAAGTGATTTTGGAGGTGGATTTTTCGCATTCGGGTGTTTCAAGCAATTGTTCAATGTGCTGGGTCTCTTTTTGCTATTCCGTTTATAGTTGAAGGTCTTGTAATTTCGACATCATTTTAAGGGTGATTTTAGAGGAAAATCAAGTGATTTGATAGGTTTTGCTAAAAACATTGTATAGATGATGTGAAATGCAACAATACAAAGATTTCATAAGGAATTTGATGGCTCTATTGGGGAAAATTGAAGAGATTGCAAATGGAAATGGTGATGTCAGAGCAAATATTGTTTCAATTGATGATTTTAAAGGGAAATCAAGTGATTTGAGAAATGAGTTTTCTTCTTCTTTGTTGATCTTTCTCTCTCTAAGTCCTTTAACTGATTCTTTTTTTTTTTTCTTTTTCTTTTTCTTCTTCATCAAAACGACGTCATTTTGATGAAAAGAAATCTCAACCTTTAACCCATTAAATGAGACACGTGTCGCACAACACTTCATTCTACACTAATCACTTTAGAGGATCCCGATGCTTGGGACATGTGGGTTCACCATAAGTATTTGATGATATGGACGGTTAATAGTAAGCCTATATAGAATGATATGCGTATATATACAGTATATGTAGTATCATCATGTATAGAGATTATTCACACAAAAAAAAAAAAAAATGAGGAAAAAAAAGAAAAAACTAAGTAACAAAATTGATCCAATAAATGTAGTAATTTGTTTTAATCACAAAAATAAAAATAAAAATTACTTTTAAAATTATACGTATCATCCATTTTATTAAAAATAAATGTGATCAAAATTATGTAGTTATAACTCTCGAATGTGAATCAGCTACACATAGGCACACAAATGATCAACTAATCAGATTATCAAATTAGGGCACAGTCCAAATTGGATTGGCCCTCTATTTTAAATATTTATATCTATTAAATTATGTCTGATTATTGAAAATATTGAGATTTTCAACCATCCAATAGTTATAAATATTTTGAAACAAAAAATCCTTGTATAATATATGAATAATTCAATTTACACGCACTTCTAAAAAATTATGTAGAGATTTGAAAACATAGAGCATAATCTTTAGCCTGCATAATATATGGGTAATACTAAAAAAAAATCCTACCGTACGTTCCTTAATAAAAATTATTATGGACTGCAAGAATTCTTGATCAATTTATTGTGATTCTAGTTATGAAATAACTAACATAAATTTAGTCATAACTAAATTTGTCATAATCAATAATCACATGATATCGCAACCAAAAACACATCTTGAAGTTATATCATAATAGAGGAATCATTTGGTAATTTTTTTAGTGACTTCTTGATTTTTTTATGAGATGAAAAAAATTCGTGTATTTGAAATAATTTTTTAGAAAAATAACATTTCAGTTGAAAGACCAAAAAAAAAAAAAAATTCACATACATGGTGAAGTTTATAGATTTTAGTTATTAAAATCATAAATTTTTTCATGTATTTATAATTATTTTTGAAAAGTTAGCATGGTTTGTAATTTCTCTTAATTTTATTAGTTAAATAGATAGTTATAAAAGAAAAAATAATTGATTAATATATAACATGTGACATTTCTACTTTTTGTGATTTTTTTTTTACTATTTTAACCCCAAAAAAAATACTTCTCCCCAAACGGGCCTAATTTCACTTTGTTGCCTAACCAAAAGAATCACAATAACACACAACTTGCATATTGGAATGGAGTGAGGTACATTACATAAACCTTAACTCTCTTATTGATCCTATATTCTCACAAGAACATAAATCTCTTGCAAACTACATTATCGACAACTCTCTTTTTTTCTTTTTCTTTTCTATTTTTTTTTCCTTTCATGATCTGCAACATCAACAACTCTCTTATAAAAGGAAAATACTCTACTTCTCTCCTGAGTGGTTTAACTTGTGCACAAATTGCAAAATTAGCTGAAAAACCTCACAAACCAAGCTTTAGGTTGGGATTAGCATGCTTTTCTCAAACTTTCACTTTAGCAAACTCCATCCAAACTTAATCAAGACAGTCTTGAATAGCCCTTGCTTGGCTTCCATCTTGAAATGGCCCTTTGTTCACTAAATTTGGTTTGTGTGAGTTTTCCATTTTCAAGATAGGGGCTGCATTGGACTGACTCCTACAGAATCAACATCATATATCCAGAGTCACCTGTAAACCATGTGCATCACGACGTATCTGAATTTCATTGCCCTTAGAAAATGTGAAAATGCCCATATTGCTAGCACTCCATGATGCTGCCTGGACTGCCACATTGCAAAAACATGAAAATTATTATCAAAATAATAAGAAAACAAAATGTTCTTATTATGATCAAAGATTCTATCCCACTAAACTGGGCCAAGAAAAAAGGATTTACATTGAAGAACCAAACCGAGTTGAATAATAGCTCCTAATCATCGTTGCTGTGGAGATTTCACATGGGCAGGCAATGGATATCCTCGGGAAGTTAGGTTCATTGGTGAAGGATGGTCGTGATGTACTGGGGACTTGATATGAGGACTAGTTACTGTGGACTTGACAAGAGGGCTGGGTACCGTTGGTTGCTTTGGAGTGGAACGTTTTATGGATGGAAGCTCTTCAAGAATATTTAAAACCTGATCCATTTGGGGGCGGGCTTTCGGGTCGGGGTTTACACAGTGCATCGCCAGAGTGGTGGCGATGCAAGCTCCTCTTCGAGGATACTGGCCTTCCAACTTGGTGTCCATGATTCGGAATATCCTCCTTTTCTCAGCCAAGTGGGGTTTTGCCCACTCCACCAACTTCTGCTCAACACCGACCTTTGTTTTATCAACGGCGAGCCGGCCTGTAAGCAACTCCAGCAATACAACCCCGAAGCTATATACATCACACTTCGCAGTCAGCCGACCTGCCAATAGGAAAACCATTTGTGTAAGTGTACTATTGTCCTAGTTCTGCTAGTAATACAAAAAGATTTCACAGAATGGAACACAAATGAGAGATAAACAAGTAGGACCCACTAGTGTGGAATGAACCGACCCTAAGGGATGCTTATGTGTAAAAAAAAAATGAGAGCTTTCCAATTTGTTGGAAAAAACACGGTAGGTATGGTATCTTAGAAAATTTGAAGTGGTCACTGAATTCTATTGCTTATGAGTTGAATGTCACAGGAATGGCTGGAAGAATTGGAAAAGACCATAGAGGTAAATTATTTCATACCATTGCATTACTTCAAATAAATTATCACAGAGATGATGTTTAATTTCATAGTCCCGAGTATGATGCTAAAGTAGTCTAAAAAATATTAGATCATTTTTATTTTTGTTTTAAAACATTGGCATAAGCAAGATAAAGATGAAAATTATCACAGAGATGGTGTTTTGATTTCACAATCCCGAGCATAATGATAATGTAATTTCAAAAGTTGGTAAACCATTTCAAAACCTTTGGCACAAGCCAGATAAAGATTATCACACAATGCATACAAGATACAACCAATATAGTTGGTAGTGAAGGTAATGAAAGCAAAGTTTCTAAAGCTGCCAGAGGTCATTCAAGTTGTAAGAATAGTTTGATAAAGAGAGGGAGAGAGAGCAAAATGAATAACTCTGTATTTCTGTGTATTATTACAAGAAGATGAACACTCTCTTTATAGAGAGGAGATGACAGCATAGGATGCTAAGTTAGGCACCGAAAGCAGGAAACATTACATATTATATAATATAAATGACAACTAGCTATGCTTGACTTTACAGCTTTTCTGTACACTAATAATACTAACAGCCCCCCTCAAACTCAAGGAGGATAGACACAAACCAACTTAACTCCATTGGTTGAGAACATTAGTTTGAATTTGGAATTCAACTTTCCAATTCCTGGTGGTATGGTATTTTATTACTTAGTTGCACGGAGTGGGAGCGGGAGCGGGGGAACATGGCCACTTAGAGGAGTCGTAAATTAGGAGCGTTTATGTATTATTTTTATTAATTATATTTTATTTATTATAATAAATAAGAAATAATAAATTGTGTTAAAATAAATAATAAATAAAAATTAGATGTTTTATTTTATAAATTTTTAATTTTTTTTATTATATATGATTTAAATAGATTTCTTTTAAACAATTAGATGATTTATTTTATTTATTATATGTTAAAAAGTTAAGAAATAATAAATTCTGTTAAAAAAAATAAAAAATAAATAACAAACAAAAATTATATTATAAATGATAAAATAAATAATATTTTATTTTAGACATAAAAATTATATTTTTTATAATAAATTATATTATATATAATAAATTATATTATATAAAACAAAGTCAAATATAAAAGCGGAAAGGGAGAGAGAGAGAGAACAGAATAGATCGAGAGAGAAGCAAGGGAAGCAAACAGAGACGAAGAGAGAGAGAAGCAAACAGAGACGAAGAGGAGATCAAGAGTGAGAGAAGAGAGGGAGACGACGACTTAGGGCTTCGAAGAGAGGGACAAAGACTAGGGCTTCGAAGGGGAAGTCAAAGGACGCGAGATCGAAGTCATCGAACAGATGATCAAAGCCAGCGACCAGGTTCTCTCCTTGCCCTCTCAAGAGTGCTTCCTTCTCGTATCAGATTCGCGTTTCCCTCTCCTCAGATTCGCGATTCTGCTGCGATTCTTCCTCAGAAGCACAGAATCGCATTTCTTCCTCAGAGTCATCACCGTCTGAGACAATTCCTGCTACTAAGTTTTATTAAAACCTCACTATGAGATTTTAAATTCAGTCAAAAGTTTAACCTCTCTCGTGGATTTTGCTATAATCAAAATCTGATTCTCAAAAAAAAGATTTGAATTTGGAAAATAAGTAAGAAATCACACTATACAATCCCTTATTTCAAAGTTCAAAGACTAACTAAAGGAACTCATTAGCAATTATCGAATTATATTTATATCTTAGTAAAATTTTACCCTACTTGAGCATCATAACTACATAATAATTACCAAAACTTTAGTTTGTTAAATAATACTCAGGTTAAGTGAATATCTGTGTTGAGAATCAACCACCATTGCCTGACTTCTCTTGCAAAACCAATTCAATTTGAAAATAATTTTCAATGGAATTCATTGACACTGAATTTTATGACAGTTAAAACAAACACTTGTTAATCTGTAGTAATAAACTACCAATAGGTCCTAATAGTTTGACTTAATTTCCATCATATCCTATTGAAAATAAGTCTTAATAAAATTGTCACTAAAAATAATTTTTTTGTGATAATTTTTTATATATGTCGCTAAAAATTGACAATTAGTGACTTTTTTTTGTCATGATTTTTATAAATTATCGCTAAAACTTACAATTAGTGACTTTTTTTATGACAAATTTTTCTTATAAGACCTATTAGACAATAAGTCCACTTATTATAACCTACACGTAAGTACCCCTAACTTAACTTTAAAAGTATTCAAATAACTATCAAATGTTAAATAAGACAATGATAGAAATGTATAGTAAAGGATCATAAGTAAAACAATTCTTCGGGAAAATTAGAAGCAACAGAGACAGTAACCACCAACAAAATGCCAGCTATGAAATGAAAAATTAGTGACTTTTTTTTGTCATGATTATTATAAATTGTCGCTAAAACTTACAATTAGTGACTTTTTTTATGACAAATTTTTCTTATAAGACCTATTAGACAATACGTCCACTTATTATGACCTACACGTAAGCACTCCTAACTTAACTTTAAAAGTATTCAAATAACTATCAAATGTTAAATAAGACAATGATAGAAATGTATAGTAAAGGATCATAAGTAAAACAATTCTTCGGGAAAATTAGAAGCAACAGAGACAGTAACCACCGACAAAATGCCAGCTATGAAATGAAAAATTACGGCTGTGTTTCGAGCAACTCTGGAAACATGATTCCAGAACTGTTTTCAATGCTTTCTTTGGTTAAAATTATGAAAAATTAATTCCAATATAACATTCCAAAACTCGTTTTCAGCTTCTGTTTGGAGAAGAGAGTTTTTTTTTATTTTTGAATTTTGAATTTTGAAAAGCGCAACTTGGGTCTACCCGGTCATCCTCCCGGACGTCCGGCCAGTTGACCGGAATAGTTTTTTTTTTTTGGCAATTGGCACCTGTTATTTGGAAAAAGAAAGGGGGGAAATTTTGTTTTTGATTTTTTTTAACAAAAATAATATTTTTTTATATTTTAAATCAAAAATATTTAAAAATAATAATTCCAACCAAATATACAATTAAAAGTTATTTTAAAGCAGTAACTGAATATTTATTTTTTAAAAAAAAATTATTTTGTTTGTAATATTTTCAATTTAAAAAAATTATGTTATTTTTTTTAATAATTATTTTTTTGAATTGAATTTTAAAAAGAGTTTGGTTATGTTTGAACAGAATTTTCAATAGAGTTTTGAGTTGTGTGTTTGGTTATGAGTTATAACTTTTTTAATTAAGTTTTGAAAACTCTTTTCAAAACTCATAACCAAAAAAATTTTCTACACTCAAATCATAATTCCAAAATTCATAGACTCAAAATACAACTCTATTCTCAAATCATATTTCTAAAACTCTACCAAACACTACCTACATATTTATAAATAAATTGCCATAAACTAAACTTAGTTATTGGATCAAAGAAATAAACCTGTAGAAACATATTCGGGGGCAGTATAGCCATGAGTACCCACGACTTGAGTAGATACATGAGTCTGGTCCCCAGTGGGGCCAGCTTTTGCCAATCCAAAATCTGAAAGTTTTGCATTAAATTCCTGCACGAAGCACGTAAATGAACTCCAACCCAATCACAAATGAAGAGATGCAAAGACGTGATGGATGTAGGGGATCAAGTACCAAAATGTTAAACAGTGAAGGTGTAAAAACTGGATTGGCCTAAATCAAGAGAATGTAACAATGCAAAAGAAAATAACACTACCAGAAGCTAAACAAATTAACAGTCGACAGGTCCTGGAATCATGTGGACTGAGCCCATGAACTCACAAAGCTAAAGCAGAGAATTTGTTTTCATTCTACGTACTGAATCTAGCAGGATGTTAGAAGCTTTAAAATCACGGTATATAACTTGTGATTCAGAGCCGTGCAGAAAAGAGAGCCCCCGAGCAGCACCTGTAAACATGATTCCAGAACTGTTTTCAATGCTTTCTTTGGTTAAAATTATGAAAAATTAATTCCAATATAACATTCCAAAACTCGTTTTCAGTTTCTGTTTGGAGAAGAGAGTTTTTTTTGAATTTTGAATTTTGAAAAGCGCAACTTGGGTCTACCCGGTCATCCTCCCGGACGTCCGGCCAATTGACTGGAATAGTTTTTTTTTTTTTGGCAATTGGCACCTGTTATTTGGAAAAAGAAAGGGGGGGAAATTTTGTTTTTGATTTTTTTGAACAAAAATAATATTTTTTTATATTTTAAATCAAAAATATTTAAAAATAATAATTCCAACCAAATATACAATTAAAAGTTATTTTAAAGCAGTAACTGAATATTTATTTTTTAAAAAAAAATTATTTTGTTTGTAATATTTTCAATTTAAAAAAATTATGTTATTTTTTTTAATAATTATTTTTTTGAATTGAATTTTAAAAAGAGTTTGGTTATGTTTGAACAGAATTTTCAATAGAGTTTTGAGTTGTGTGTTTGGTTATGAGTTATAACTTTTTTAATTAAGTTTTGAAAACTCTTTTCAAAACTCATAACCAAAAAAATTTTCTACACTCAAATCATAATTCCAAAATTCATAGACTCAAAATACAACTTTATTCTCAAATCATATTTCTAAAACTCTACCAAACGCTACCTACATATTTATAAATAAATTGCCATAAACTAAACTTAGATATTGGATCAAAGAAATAAACCTGTAGAAACATATTCGGGGGCAGTATAGCCATGAGTACCCACGACTTGAGTAGATACATGAGTCTGGTCCCCAGTGGGGCCAGCTTTTGCCAATCCAAAATCTGAAAGTTTTGCATTAAATTCCTGCACGAAGCACGTAAATGAACTCCAACCCAATCACAAATGAAGAGATGCAAAGACGTGATGGATGTAGGGGATCAAGTACCAAAATGTTAAACAGTGAAGGTGTAAAAACTGGATTGGCCTAAATCAAGAGAATGTAACAATGCAAAAGAAAATAACACTACCAGAAGCTAAACAAATTAACAGTCGACAGGTCCTGGAATCATGTGGACTGAGCCCATGAACTCACAAAGCTAAAGCAGAGAATTTGTTTTCATTCTACGTACTGAATCTAGCAGGATGTTAGAAGCTTTAAAATCACGGTATATAACTTGTGATTCAGAGCCGTGCAGAAAAGAGAGCCCCCGAGCAGCACCTGTGGCAACCTTAACCCTTGTTTCCCATGAAAGAGGTTTCGCACTCCCTAAAAATAAGGTTTAGTTTAAAAATTAGCGAACCAAATGGCATGTTTTTGCAAGGTTAAAACCAGAAACTTTGCAATTCGTAGTTTACTCTGGTGGCTATGAAGTGTGATTTACAGAATGTGTTATGGAAAAAAATTGAGAACTTTGACTAACTCTTGAATAGATGATTCTCCAAGCTGCCTCGGGGCATGAACTCATAGACCAATAGCCGGTTGTCACCTTCCAAGCAATAGCCAATAAGTTTTACCAGATTTGGATGATGAAGTTGGCCAAGATAATTTACCTCCGACTGCAACCAACTAGCTCTGAGTAAATAAATAAAGCCAAAAAGGTTGTGTTTCGATCTTGGATTTAGGAAGAAGCTTGTGAAGGGGAAAAAAATGTGGATGGAAATGTGAAGAAATATAAGCCAAAATTTTGTCACTTTTTCCTTCGCTTTTTACAAATCCTGCTCCAAATCCTAAATCCAAACACAGCCTAAGTGAATTATGAGAGAGACTCACCAGCCATTCTTTATGACCTTGGAAGCCTTTGGGTTTAAGCTTCTTCACAGCAACTATAGTTCCAAATCCAGGCCTTGCGGCAGTTAGAGTCCGCTCATCAAGCCATCCTTTGTAAACATATCCAAAGCCACCTTCTCCAAGAAGACTCTCGGGACGGAAGTTTATAGTAGCATTCTTAAGCTCATTAAAGGATAGGGCTTTCACATGGGGTGATGGCAATATCTCACCCGTGGATCTTGGACTTGGCAGTTTTACAGTTCTATCCTTTTCATTGGATGAATGGATATTCAAAATTGGACTTGGCAGTTTTGCAGTTCTATCCTTTTCAGTCGATGAATGGATAGTCAAAATTGGAGGAGGTTGGTTTAGACATTTTGGGGGCCCTGAAATAAGGAAAAAAATGTGATAATATGGTAGAAGTGGAAACTGGCACGTCCTACTTTGAAACAATTTAATTAAGATCACATTTGAATCTTATTTACAAGGCACAGAAACAGATGTTAGACCAACATAAGGTGGTTAACTGAGTTGTCTCCAAAGAAAGTTTAAATGCGATGTTATAGTATATAACAGGGTCATTTGTCTTTGATGTTGGCATGATAGGCAGTTGTTTACAAACCACCCATCTCCGTGTTTGGTCATATAATTGAAACCAAATATAAAGAAAAAACTCCTTTGTCTACCTAGAACATGTGCTGAAAAATAGTGCACTATGGTCTTTTGCATAAAAGTATAACCCATTTATGAAGTTGTTATTTCGTTGCATGGCTCTTTATGGTGCTTTTGTACATATGCAAACTCAACACACATTCATAATTTTCAATGAATCTGATATCATTAAAATTTATTGGGTTTTATAAGCCACTCTTGTAAGGAAAAACTACCAATTTATTGAGACTGAACACTCTTTAGGACTAGAAATGCAATATTACAAGTATAGGAAAATATAATAATTTACACAAGTTGAGATAGTAAAAACATATGCATAGGCATTAATAACATGGCGCACATGGCCATGAAGTAAAGATTGAAAACACTCTACACCAAGCTGGGTATGCCCCATAAATTTTTTTAGTAAGTCACAAAATACAATGCTTGCTTTTTTATCTGTTGGACAGGCACTTATCGAGAATTTTCTTTAACTTTACGTTGTGATCATGTCCAAAAAGACGTTTTCCAAACTACACCTTTATACAGAAATAAAGAAAGGCATCAATAATTATGAGCTCTCTTTGTCTCTAAAGTTCTTTCTTCATTTGTTTTAAGGAGATGTGATAAGGATAAACTGCCCCCTAAGCTTTCTTGAGAGAGAAAAATAAAGGGCCTTTTGAACTAGGGTCAAGATTTTAGTTCATAAAGACAATAGTGTAATTTCTTCCACTAAAATCAGACGAGGCCCATCCTAACAATGAGATGAATGAGGTGTCTCAGAGGAGGTGGACGTTAGCCGTGGAACTAAGGGAGCAACGGCCAAGACTGTCTACAAGTTGACCAATCATGTCCTCCTTATCCAGCAACCAAATGTGGATTATAAGTAGACTCCTATCTTTTCGTGATCTTTCACATGTTCATTAGGCAAATGAATCAAGAATATGAAAACACACAATGTGGGAAAGATGATGTAAATGAAAATGAATTTAATTCCGATAACAATATGTACTGTTATTTATTGACAAATGGCAAGAAATTAGTCTTCCTTGAATGTTTCAATAAGTAAATAGAACCCAAAAACAACATTAAAATTAAAACAAGAAGAAAAAAAAAAAAGGGGCCATAATCAAGTCCATCAAAATTTACTTCCAACAGTCAAGAACGTAGTCTACTGAATGAATGCAATCTGATAAAGTAATATACATTTAAATTTTAAACCTAGTGCACTTGAATTTTAAACTAGATGCAAAAGCAGCCAAACCCCAACAGAAGCAAATTAAAATGTGGCTTACAACACCCTTAAGACAATCTATCAACCAGAAAATTTCAGAGGAGGGCGGCTAAATGCAGTACAATTCATAGTTAATGAATGAAGACGGTAAAATGCTGCATGAAAAATCACTAAAAAGTTCAGTTATAAACCTTAACCCATCTTCTGAAAACCAAATGTATAACTAGCCTGTTGTGCGGACAGACACTAAAACGCTCAACATCACCAAAGGTTGATGATGGTTATGAATATTGAGAACTAGAACTAGAACTAGAACAAGTATAGAGAATATAGAGAATTAAACATTCATGACACCAAGAATTTACGAGTTTTGGCAAAGCCCACCTCCGCGGGCAATCCCACAAACACTAGTTTTCACTGTCAAACTTGAACGAATGCTCAAAAAGCTACAATGGTGCCAAAAAAAACATAGCCAAACTCAGAAAACCCACAATTAAAACCTACTTTTACATCTAACCCGAAAAAAAAAAAAAAAAAAAAAAGAAGAAGAAGAAGAAGAAGAAGAAGAAGAAGAAAGAAAAAGGTATGAAAGAAACATTTTGCCACAAATTCCAAAACCAAGAGAGATTAACCCCAAAATGAGAGGAAAATAATGAAAACAACACATTGAGAAACAAGGAAACCCACGAATTACAACCCATTTCAAAATTTGTTACGAAATCCTAAAAAATATATATATATATATACAAGAATTAATAAAAATGAAACAAGAACAATATCATAAAATTCAAACCCAGATGAGAGAAGAGAGAGGCGAGAAAAACCCAAAAAAGAAGATTACCAGAATGAGCCTCAGAGATGAAAACGAGGTCGACTTTTGGTCGAATGTTCCAGCAGTTGCCCATGGATAATGACGAGTTCTATAACCTATACATACAGCAACAATTCGAAATGGAGCTTGGTAATCTTCGCTCTCTCTCTCTCTCCTCCTCCTCCTCCTCCTCCTCTGCGTCCCTCCCTCTCCCCTGTGTTCTACAGAGGAGAGAGAAAGAGGAAGAGACCCACCACACACAAATGGAGAGATACAAATGAGAAATACAAAGAAGACAGAGGTTAGACAACTTGTGGCGTTTATAATTCGAAATCTTCATTTTGTGAAAAGTTGGTTGTATTAGGCATTAATTTTTTTATTAAGTCTGTTTCAATGGAGGATTTTGTAGTTTTATTAAATTACTCATCCATCCATCGATCAGTATAATTTTTTTTTATAAATTTTTATTGTTAGTTAAAAGACATTTGATAGTAAAAATCCAACGATAATAAATAGTAGTTTAATGAAATACATATTAATTATCAGTTTAATAAAAGAAAAAGTAAAATTAAAACTCTAAATTTGATATTGTATTTGATTTAACAGTTGGAGTAAGAAAAGAAACTATTTTTTTATCAAATTTAAATTTGATGACAATTTTGAGTAACCATTGAAGATAGTCTAATATCTATTAAAATAAATTAGTTCTATCTAATATTCATAATTTTTTTATTTTATTATATTTATCACTGAAAAAATAGATGATAAATATATTTTTGAATCAAATTATTCATTTTTTTGTAAAAAAAATATTATAAAATAAAAAGTTATAATTATCGGATTGACCTAAATTTTTCATGGATATTATTCATGGAGGACTTTACAAAATGAACCATTTTCATTATTGAAATGAGAGTTATGATGGGCCTTATATGTCCATCTGGTTCTCTCATGTTGAAATCTCAATATAAGAGAAACTCAATCCTTTCTTAAAATATGAATTGCTCTTTGTAATTTGAAAAATTACAAATATTCTCTTGTCATTTTATTACATCATTAGAAATGGATTAGAGGTGCTCAATCAAGACACCCAAGCATTTTTCTTTTTATTTAACAAAATTAGTTAAAAAAAATAAAATTCCTAACAAGCAAGCTGATTTTTTAATTTGATTCAATTTAAACTATTTGTCTATTTTTTAAAGTAAAACTAATAAAAAAAATTTATATTTTAGCCATTAAAAATGATATTTTAGATTTTTATTTACATTTACATTGAATTTAATGAATAAAATATTATTTTCGTTCGGTTTTACTTGACAAAAATAGATAAATAGTTTATATTAAAAATAAAAAATTAAATTAAATTAAATTAAATTGATAAAATTAACAATTCATCATTTATTTTATTTTTATTATTTTTCTGTTGTAATTTTTCCTTTAACTTTTTTTTTTTTTTTGATCATATAAAAAAGGAGGTTCTGAGGTGTCATCACGACCTTCGGAGGCCCACGACCTCCGGAGGCCCAGGCCCGATGGTCCGGATCTGCCTGATTTAATTTTTCCTTTAACTTATGGGTTTTTTACTAGCCGGTCCTACTTTTTATAGTTATTCCCTTCTTAGTCCTGAATATTGATGTTGTGCACCAATAGGTCCTGGAGTCTTTCTTTTGTACTTGTTTTACCCCTGTTTTGTTTTTCCCTGTTTTGACACGTTTCTATTTGATTTTTTCTATCAAAATACTGTAATGTGAGTTTGGGTTTGGGTTTGTGATTTGGATTTCTGTGGAACTTCGCTCCTTTAACTTATGGGTTTTTTACTGGTCGGTCCTACTTTTTATAGTTATTCTCTTCTTAGTCCTGAATATTGATGTTGTGCACCAATAGGTCCTGGAGTCTTTCTTTTGTACTTGTTTTACCCCTGTTTTGTTTTTCCCTGTTTTGGCACGTTTCTATTTGATTTTTTCCATCAAAATACTGCAATGTGAGTTTGGGTTTGGGTTTGTGATTTAGATTTCTGTGGAACTTCGCGATTTGTTAATGCATTATTGTGGAGCTTCGTGATTTGTGATTTCGCGCTTGGTGTATATTTGGATTTTGCAATTTGCAATCTCATGGAAAGAGCTCGATTTGGGATTTGCTTTTTATAAATCTGTGAATCTTCGTGTTTTGTGATTCTGCGTTTGGTGTATAGTTAGATTTTGTGATTTGCGATTTTGTGGATGAAACTCAACTGGTATATTTGATTTTGATTTCAATTTCGATGTTTTGGTGTTTTTTAGTTTGAGTTTGTGATTTTGATTTTGTTTATGATATTGTTGTTATTCTGTTGTTTCTGCGATTGAATTTATATTTTTATCATGATATTGAAAGATTTGAGATATGTGTATGTAATGAATATTAGATTTTTTTTTTTTTTTGTTATGAAATTGTTTTGGTTGAATACATGTTTTGGTTGTGATTTTCCACAGTGATAATTTTATCACTGAGTAGTTTGGGGGTATTGTTGGATTAGCTTTTTCAACACAGATAAATTTATCAGCGAGTATAGGAATAAGAGATGAAAAGGTTGCATAATATAATGGTAAGATTCAAATCGAGTTACCATGCCTAATAAATGTAAGTCTTATTCACTGTTCTTGCTCTTGGTCTTAGGTAGTGTTAATTGTTAAATTTATCACTGTTGGTTTTTAGATGTGTTTGAGTTGGTTGATAATTCAATCACTGTATCAGATTTTGCTTTAGGTTGTTTGAGTTGTTTGCTAAAATATAATTGTTGTTTGTTGCAAGATTTATAGTGATGGAAAATTCTTTGTTCTTATGTGCAAATTTAGAGGTGTGACATTGGTTATCAAGTATAATGATGGATTTAATTTCAAGGATTTAGTATATAAATTGTGTGCAAAGTGGAGTGAGTTAGTTGGTAGTTCTTTGAATATATCGTAATTTTGATTTTGTTAAGAATGATAAGGATCGTGTCACTGTTCATTGTAAGAGAATGGCTGATTTGGGATGTTTATGGAGCATGCATGCTAGAGTGGAAAATTATAGTAAAGCTTTTGTTATTAAACAATTTGATGATGTTCATACTTATGGATCTTCTTTTCGTACAATTAAACATGCTAGGATGACTTCAAGTATGATTGGTAGGCTAATTTCAAGTGATATTCGTAATAAGGCTTTGACATCGGCTAGTGAGGTGGTTTGTCATTTCAAGAACCATTATGGAACATAAGTTTCTATCGGCGAGCTTGGATGGGTGTTGAAAAAGCAAGGGGTCTTGTTTTTGGTGACTATTCATCATCATTTGATGATCATCGTTGGTATGTTGATGCCACTAATGATTGTAATCCAGGGAGTGTTTTTGATATGGAATTTGATATTTATATTAAAGGAAGACATTTCAAATGCTTGTTTTTCGCTTTTGAGGCATGTATTCATGGTTTCAAGTATTGTCGGCCTGTGTTGATGCTTGATGAAACTTTCTTGGAAGGAAGACACAAAGATTGTTTATTAGCTGCTATGGAAAAAGACAGTAACCAAGGTATATTCTGTGTTTATTTGTTATTATTATTAAAATAATGATAATTTTATCATTTTTGTTACTGGAGAGTGTTGATTATTGAGTATGGTCAATCAATTAGTGATAAATTTTTGCTGTATACTTTTGTATGTTGTATACTTTTGTTAAATTTTTATATTTATACAGTGATAAATTTATTATGCATTGATTCTATATGTTGTATGTTTTTATTGAATTGTTGTAATAATACAGTGATAACGTTATCTATGGTTTGTGCTATATGTTATATACTTTGCATTTTACTTTTGTTTTGTAATCTTTTTTATTTGTTACAAATAATGTGTATATATTTTGTTTGTAGGTTTATATTCATTATGTTTTGCCATTGTTAATAGTGAACGTTATGATAATTGGCATTGGTTCTTGTCAAAGTTATTTGTTATTTTGACTCCGGGAAGGGATATTACGTTTGTCACTGATCGACATGGAGGTTTGCTGAAAGCTTTAGCTAAGGTCTTTTCGTTTTCTTCTCATTCTTTTTGTCCAATGCATTTGAAAACAAACTTGAAGACTTATTCGTTAGTGAAGAGTCGCGAATCTAAAGAGTATTTGCTCACTCCATTTAGTAGATGTGCATATGCTCCTACTATTGAGTTGTTTAATGAGCTATTTGAAGAATTTAAGGGTCGTTGTGGTTGTAATGTTCAGAAGTTTTTTGAGGATTTGCCTAATAAGTGTTGGTGTAACGCTTATTTTTAAGGCAAGATGTATGGTGAAATGTACACAATTGCTGCAGAATCTTTTAATTCATGGATTAGGAATAAGCACCATTTGTTTTCAACTAATCTTGTTGATGTTATATGGGTAAAACTAATGGAGCAATTTTCAAAAAGGTGAGAAGTTGGAAATAAGTGGAATCATATTGTTTATCCTTGTGCAGAGAAAAAGTTGGAAGAAGCTTTTAATGATACAAAGGCATGGATTGTTAAGAAATGTAGCGATGATATTCATGAAATCCAATTGGATCATTCAGTTATGGTTGATATTGGGAAACAATTTTGTTCTTGTCGATTGTTGGAAATTGATTCTTTTCCTTGCAAACATGGTTTTTATGCTATAAAGAGGAGTGAGAAGGATCTGAATTGTTTTCTTGATGATTACTACCATGTTCGTAGTTATTGTGATTCTTATTCGCATTCTATCTATCTAGTTCCTAGTATGTGGAAACCAAATGTAGTTCTTGATGATGACATTGTTTTACCTCCTTTTTGTAAGAAACCAATTGGACCTCTAATAACAGAGAGAATACTTTCGAAGGGCGGATTAAAAGAATTAGGTGCAGTAAGTGTGGAAAGATGGGAACTCGTAATCGAAAGACATGTAAAGAAGCTTGCTTTAGTTGTATTGATTTTAATTGAATTATTTTTGTTGAGAGTTAAGAGGTATTACTTGCATTGAATGTTTGAGTATTTTTTGAAAGATACATCATTTTGGTAGTTGCATTGGATGATTGAGGAGTTTTTTGAATGGAAATTATATTTTTTGTTGATATTCTTACAAGATTAAGTTTCACAGATTTATATTCTTTGATTTTGGTTAAATGTAGTTGATGTTTTTGGTGTTTTATACAGTGGTAAATTTATCCTTGATTG